ATAGATTTAAACTACTTCATAAAGCTAGATTACCAAAGCATTGGCTCTGTGGAATCCTCATCGAAGCAATACAATCCGTTCTGCATTTAAATTCCGCATTTAATTACATTTTGTTTGCAGCTTATGCTTATTTTTGCGATGTTTTCTTTATGAGTTCCTCTTTTGTTTGCACATTATTTGATCTTTGGTGATTTTAGCTGTATGGTGTGTTTCAAAGTTCCATAGAGCTTTATCACCAAAACCCAAATGGTTTTTGCATTTTGTTCGCTTGAGTTTTGTTACGTTTTTTCAAATGTTTGTTTTATGGACATCAAGAAAATGTCACAAACGTGGAATATTCTTACTAAAACAATTTTCTTATCTTCTCCCATCCACGCACAGATCGCTCCTTTGACTTGGTCGATTCGGCGGCTGCCTTGGAGATCTGTTCGCCCAAGGCCAAGCGACAACGGTTGCAGTCCAGTGCCCATTTGAGCAATGGTTTGGATGACTCCATATCGCGGAACTACTGCTCCCAGCCGATGCCTACGATGCGCAATGACGATGACTTTGATGTGAGATTGCGCAGCGGTCGGGCCACTGGCGGCCAGGAGAATCAGGCCGTGGCACAGGAGGCGCGCCTCAGCTACTGCTTCTCGCAGCCGGCCCTGCTGGATGATCTACTGTTGGCCACGCAAATGAACCAGACGCAGAGCGCCTCGCAGAACTACTTCCAGCGCCTGGTGCGGCGCATGACTCGATTCTTTGTGACCACACGCTGGGACGACACTATCAAGCGGCTGGTGGCCACCATCGAACGGCTGGGCGGATACACGTGCAAGGCCTGCGAGGAGGGTGTGGTCACGGTGTCCACCATCGATCGGAATAAGCTGCGGCTGGTCTTCAAGGCGCACATCATTGAGATGGACGGCAAGATCCTAGTCGACTTTCGGCTGTCCAAGGGCTGTGGCCTGGAGTTCAAGCGGCGCTTCATCAAGATCAAGAACGCGCTGGAGGACATTGTCATGAAGGGGCCCACCACGTGGCCCATTGCGATTGCAACCAATTCGGTGCCTTAGCTTGTAATAGAAATTAACCTAAGACTTGACACTGTTTCATGTGTTCACACAGCACTCCCATTAATGATCACAAAAGACCTTCGAATACTTTAAGCAACAATTAGCGTGTGCTAACTCACTCTTAGTTCATGCATTTTCGACGATTACGTTTCGTATTATGTATTATTACTTCCTATTCTACGATGATTTTAAGTTTGTTGATTTTTAAACGATTGCCGAGTATTAAATGTAGTTGATTAGTTAGTTGAACGTTATGAAACAATAAATATTTCTTTTGTAATGAAAAGAGAGATTTCAAGAAACTGGATTTTCATTCGAAGGCGACTCACCCTACCCGGTCCGGCCCCAATTTAATAGAATTTCAGTCAAAGTTCATAAAACAGCCGAAAAACCCGGCGGAGCTAGTCTTCTAAATTTTACATGGGAGAGACATTGGTGTTACTTGCAGTCTACTTGCTGCAAGTTCTGCCAACGGCCAACAGAGGGCGTCTAATGTATGCAGCAGACTCCCCACAGATGTTGGCAGTGCTAAGAATTGCATTTTCCATTTTTAAGTTTTATTTTATTTCACAATTAACTAACAAATCTGAGTATAGCATTATTGTACACATTGATAGTGATGTTTTTTCTTTCGGTTTAGTGTATTGTTTTTCTCTGTGGGATCGACTATTGGAACACCTGGGGAGGGCATTCGCTTTATTTGAGTTGAACGAGATTTTCTGCTTAATTCTATGTCTCAACAATAATTTTGTGGGCTCTCTGTAATGGGTGGGGGTGGGGATTGAGTGTGTATATAATTTCAAAAGAATTACAACGACTACAAATACGATATCCACGCCCTGGGCCAAGTTGTTGCGGGGTGGCGGCGGCTAACAGAATATCTGATACATAGGGATGTTTGTTTTGTTTGGTTGTTTATAAATAATGATTAGATCATGTTTTAACATTAATAATAATGTCTAATAACGAAGCATAGAGACAGCAAAACGGCATTTTGGTATTTTAGTTCTGTTGCCTTTTGTGCGCCAGACACAAAAATCCAAAAAGGGGGTTGACGAGAACACGTACACCAAATATCAGCACCACCCCAGGATGGGTCTTCTCCTGCAGCTGCTGCTGATCATCATCCAGTCCATTGGTCTCGTGCTGGATTAGCGGGTGCTTTCGGTGTGGTTGGAATTTTGAAGTAGCAACGCTTACTGGGGCTTCCTGAAGCTCTTTCCGGCGAACTTGACACCGGAGCCGATCTCCTCCTCAATTCGCAAGATCTGGTTGTACTTAGCCAGACGCTCGGAGCGGCATGGAGCACCGGTCTTGATCTGGCCAGTGGACAGACCCACAACCAAATCACCGATGAACGAATCCTCAGTCTCGCCGGAACGGTGAGAGACCATGGTGCCCCAGCCGTTCTTCTTGGCCAGCAGATGGGCGGCAATGGACTCGGTAACGGTACCGATCTGGTTCACCTTCAGCAGCAGGCAGTTGCAGGCGCCCTTCTCGACGGCGGTGGCAATGCGCTTGGGGTTGGTCACGGTCAGATCATCGCCCACAATCTGGATCTTGGTGTTGCTGGTCAGGTTGGTCCAGGCATCCCAGTGATCCTGGTCGAAGGGATCCTCAATCGATGTAATGGGGAACTCCTTGATGAACTCCTGGTACAGATTGGCCAGCTTGTCGGGTGTCAGCCACTGGGCCTTGTCGCTCTGGGGGTTCTTGAAGTCCAGATCGTACAAACCATCCTTGAAGAACTCAGAGGCAGCAACATCCATGCCGATTTCGATCTGTAAAGCGTTGTATAGTGGAATTATAGAGATTACATTCGTAGCGCGACTTTTGAGTTCTTCCATACCTTGCCAGTGTAGCCAGCCTTGGCGATGGCATCGGTGATCAGGACGAGAGCCTCCTTGTTGGACTGAATGTTGGGAGCAAAGCCACCCTCATCACCGACAGCGGTGGCATCCAGACCGAACTTGGCCTTGATCACGTTCTTCAGATGATGGTACACATCGGAGCCCATCTTCATGGCCTCGGTAAAGGTGGTGGCGCCGGTGGGCAGGATCATGAACTCCTGCATGGCCAGCTTGTTGCCGGCATGGCTGCCACCGTTGATCACGTTGAAAGCGGGCACGGGCAGGATGATCTCCTTGTTTCCAGCCAGATCGGCGATGTGTTTGTACAGGGGCACGTTCTTCTTGGCAGCACCAGCCTTGGCCACGGCCAGGGAAATGCCCAGAATGGCATTGGCGCCGAACTTGCTCTTGTTCTCGGTGCCGTCCAGCTTGATCATGAAGTTGTCCACAGCAGCCTGATCAACCACATCCAGATTGGCCTTGATCACCTCGGGTCCGAGGGTATCGTTGACATGGGCCACAGCCTTCAGCACGGACTTGCCATGGTAGTTGGCCTTGTCGTTGTCGCGCAGCTCCAGTGCCTCATGGACACCGGTGGAGGCGCCAGATGGCACGGCGGCACGGAACAGACCATTCTCGGTGGTCAAATCGACCTCCACGGTGGGGTTGCCACGGGAGTCGTAGATTTGACGTGCCTTGATCGCCTTGATGGTCATATTGCTGCTGCAAATGTAAAGAGAGTGATTGGAAAAGGGTTAATAAATTGTAATCTGTGTGATTTGTGGTGTAAAAGAAACCACAAAAATTAATTTTATTCTTAGCAAACGAAAATGTTTTGTTCCCACATCACACCATCATTGTAATGCCCTCTGGAATTGTTAAAAAAAAAGACAAGCAGACTGCCAACAGATAAGAATTTCAAATTTGTTTGTTGGACTTTCATCATGGAAAATTCCCCAAAAATTCCTACCAAATCTATATTAAATTTCGATCAAATCTTTAATTAAAGTATTATTAAATTGTTAAAAGTCATCAACACGGGCGGCATTTTCCTCGGAAACGCAACGAAAATGTATTTTCTACTCAGCGGGAGAGCGACGCAGCGCAGCACTGAGCGTTCTCTGTATGACCTCTAAGCAGCTTTTAAAGGTCACTCGCAAAGTACGCAAAAAACCACAGACGGAATACGTGCAAAAGTTGCCCAGACAAAAAAGCGAAAGTACACGATTTGTGGAAATAATTGCATTAAACATTATTTGTCATTGTTTTAGTTGCAATTAAATCAACGAAAAAACGTCTACAGCGCAGCAAGGGAGCGGCACTTGAAAATTTTGCACAGACATTTGTTAGATAATCGCAGGGGCTTTGTGACAGAGAAATCTTTGCATTTGCACTACAATTTGATTAACAAATGAATGGAAACAGTTAAACACGCACTGCCATATCAAATTATTAAATATTATTAATCACACACACACGCAGCACACTAGTACATACCAAGAACTTTTAAATTTGACAAATTTAAATCCAGATGATAGCGATTCTATAGAGCTTCCGGCGTTGCTGGCTGCTTTGCTAATGAAAGCTGTGGAAATGAAAATGACTGTGGAAGCCGCTTCGCTGCCGATTCGCGCTGCTCCCCTAGAGTGGGACCAGCAGCGGAGAGCGCCACGTAAAGCTAATACGCTCGCCATTGCTGTTCGGAGCCGATTCTGGTGGTTGCTTGAGAGAGAGAATCGCTGTCGCTCTCTCTATATGTATGCGTCTCCAGGTGCTGCGCCGGCTATACTTTTGTGTGGCGGGGGGTGAACTGTTCTTTCCTTTGGGAGAATTGACCTTCGCACAAGGTTAGACGCACAGGGGTTTGCGATGGCACACAGGGCCAAACTGCAAGAGAGAGTTTTGATTAAAAACGAGAGTAGCAACTAGAAAATGAGTGTGCAAATGTCATACCCCACCCACTATGTGGGGTATCAAATTTGTTTAAATATAAAAAAACGATATTTTTTTGGCCTAACAGCTGATCTTACAGGCACTGTTAACTAACATTGCGGAAACTAGGGCTACCAAGCTGTTATCCCAAACAGTGCTGCAAAACGCGCCACCTTGTGGCCATATGTTTCAAACGACACACGCGGCCGGCTTTTGTTTTGGATTTTAAACGCTGAATTTACGAAAAAAACGACCAATAAAATGGACAGCGGCAGCGCAATTGTAATGCCTGGAGAACGCATCACCAGCATAGAGGAAGTGGCCAAGGAGAAGAGAGTTATACTGGGACCAGGACTGCGTCGACTGGACGATACGGTGGTGGCCAGCAAAGCGGGTCCCCTGCGTCACAAGGAGCCCAACACGTTTTGGATCGACAACTATCAGAGACGCTACGTGCCCGCTCGAGGAGATCTGGTGCTGGGAATTATCAAGGGCAAGGCGGGGGATCTGTACCGCGTGGACATTGGCTCGGCGGACATTGCCTCCATTCCGTATCTGGCCTTTGAGGCGGCCACCAAGAAGAATCGTCCCGACCTTAATCCGGGCGACATCATCTACGCGCGTGTGCTCAACGCCAGTGCAGACATAGAGCCGGAGTTGGTGTGCGTCAACTCGAATGGCAAGCGCGGCAAACTGGGTCTCCTCGCCGATGGATTCTTCTTCAAGTGCACCCTCAACCTGGGACGCCTGCTGCTGCGCGAAAACTGTCCGGCACTGGCTGCACTTACCCGCGAACTGGCTTACGAGATCGCCATTGGCGTCAATGGGCGCATCTGGGTCAAGGCGAATTCCCTGCGCGAGACAATGGCTCTGTCGAATGCAATACTGACGCTGGAGCAGGCGGGCTACACGGAAATCGACAAAATCTGCGACAGTCTGAGCGATGTGCTGCAGGCCTAGACTCCATCAATAAATCTTAGTTTACTTACATTTCCAAAAAAAACGAGAAAATTTTTAAAGTATTTCCAGACGTCTTGACTTTTATGTAAAAGGAAAGCCTTCGGGCAGTCGGAGATGAGCAATTGTGTGACTGCATGTTATCAGATCACGATATAAGCGTTGGATATTTATTTCATGCAATTATTTCCAGAAAAACTCAAATGGAATATGCCGCAGGCTGCACTAATTTCCATTAGCTATGTGCGAACTTTATTAACATGCCAATGGGTAAACAATTACATTGTTCCACAGCATACAAAATCACATAATTAACACCATAGAAAAGTCACTGCATCATCTCTGGCAACCCACACCGGAGCAATATTTCCCCATCGCATGGGCATGTTAATGAAACGGTATTAGTGCGAAACAGCTGATCTGGGTCTTATCTGTGCGGTTCCCCTCCCAAAAGAGGAGTCGAAACTTTGCTTTGCAGTTGATTATATTACGGCAAAGTGCAAAGGTAGCAAAAGCAGCGTGCACAATGAGCTTCCTGGAGTTCCTGCTGATCCTGCTGGTGGTGTACTATGCGATCTATGTGCTGCTGTGGATCGTGCTCGACTGCAATGTAGCCCTGTGGATCAAGTCAAAGTTTGGCGTTTCGCTGTCGTCGATGCGCGGCCAGGTGGTGTGGATAACGGGCGCCTCGAGCGGCATTGGACGCTCCCTGGCCCTGAGCCTGGCCCGCCATGGCGTTCGCCTGGTATTGAGTGCCCGACGGGTGGAGCAGCTGGAGGAAGTGCAGAAGGAGTGTTTGGCAGCTGCACGCGGCCTTTTGGCCACCAAGGATGTGCTCATTCTGCCCATGGATATGCTGCAATTGCAGCGGCACGAGTCCAATCTCTTCGACGTGCTCAATCACTTCGATCGCCTGGATGTGCTGGTGAACAATGCGGGCAGATCGCAGCGAGCCAGCTGGACGGACATTGAGATCGAGGTGGATCGGGAGCTGTTCGAGTTGGACGTCTTTTCCGTGGTGCATCTCACGCGTCTGGTGGTGCGCTACTTTGTCGAGCAGAACGGTGGTCGGGGCCATGTGGCCGCCACTTCCAGCATCGCCGGCTTCGGTCCTGTACCCTTCTCGGCCACCTATTGTGCGGCCAAGCATGCCCTCAACGCCTATCTGCTGTCCCTGAAATTGGAGATGCGCAAGCTGGACGTGACCATCTTCGCTCCCGGTCCCATCGCCACGGACTTCCTGCAGGAGGCGTTCACGGGCGAGCAGGGCGCCAAGTTGGGAAAGAGTACGGCCAATCAGAAGCGGATGACAGCGGAGCGCTGCGGCGAACTCTTTGCCGTCGCACTGGCCAACAAGATGGATCTCACCTGGTGTGGCCTCTTCCCCGTCAACCTGCTGGCCTACTGCGCCCGCAATCCCACGCTGACCAAGATCCTCGGCCAATTTATGACCGAGCAGACGCTCAACAAGATTCGCGAGGGTAAATTGTGAGCTGCGGCGTTGCCCAACTCGGTGCTCAGTCAACTTTTATACATGTACAGCGTTTAATTATTTAAACAATATATGCAAATGTACACAAAGATAAAGTTGAATTGCTTTTGTTTGCTGATCATCCACTACAAAACACGGCCTCAACTTGGATTCCCTTGATTGGTGTTCTTGTCTACCTTGTTTGGGTTGCAAAACGCACTATGGACAAAGATTTCCTCACTTTTTATCTCGCTTTAATCACATAAACAACTATTCTAAGAGCTAATCTTTCCCAAGAGCTGCCTTGACATGGGCAGGGATCTTGACACGTTTCCGTTTCGCTTTTGTCAGCGCCGTTTGTTCTACGCCTTGTAGCGGCGGTTTGCTCTTTTCCTTTTTACTCTTTTTGCAGGAGAGCGGATTGGGATTCTTGGGTCCCTTGCGTTTTGTTGAACTGCTGGTGGTGGCTTCTGCTGGCTTTAGGCCCTGCTTTTCCTTCATGTAGTCAATCTTTGCGGCTTGCTTGCCCAGCATGAGGTCCTTGGCCTGCTTTAGCACCCACTTTTTGGATGCTTTCGAGGGCGCTTCCAGTACGGGTGTGGCTTTGTGCAGATAAAGCAGGCAGCGTCCGGGAATCTTGCGCAGACTCTCCTGAAGCAGGCGATCCTGCGAGGCGACTATGTAGCGATTGTCTTTGGTCTGTCGGAAAGAGTGGGATTAGTTGGTAATTCGTTAATTCCCCGCAATCTTACCATTGATTTGATGCATTCAGCGGCTGCCACAGGCTTGCCCTCGTGTCCGCATTTGTGCACATGGAACTTCTTGACAATCGTTGTGGCTCCTGTCAGTGGTGCGCCCAGTGCCTCCGCCTCGAGAATCACACACTGGGTGGTCAGCAGCTTGGCACTGCATTGGAAATACTTCCTTATCTGCTCGTCAATGCCAATTTTGTGCTGAAATGTGTAAATTGTTTTAAATATTCAACAAGTTTCGTCTCGATTCCTCACCAGCAGCGCCGCCTGGCAGAACGTGGCATCCACCAGCACCTGGTAGGGCTCCCGATAGTCAAAGTTGGTGGCGAAAAACACCAAAGTCTTGTGAGACTTTTTGAATCTGGATATTTTCATTGTTTAGTTCAATTTAATTATAATTAACTATTGCTTTGTACGAATTTGTCCAGTATTTCCAGGGCAACAGACCCTTACAAATATACCAAAATATGCCGTAAATGCTGTTAATATACCGAAAATATACCAAAACAATTAATTTAATATACCCTGGGTGATGAGTGAAATAACTTAGCCCACTTAAGCCCCCTTTACTTAAACAGCTGAACTTCTAATCTTGAATCGTGAGTATGATACTGATTGTACATTGTACTTCTTACCTACCTTTACTTTCAATTTACTTAGAAAATGAAAATTACCTCTATAGATTTCACTTAAACTGTCCGATAAATGTTCAAGTGTCTTAACAGCGGGCTAAGCATTCTCCGTCCATTATCGCACATCATATTCCCCTATTTAGCTATTCGGCTTAATATTACAAACCATTTATGACTCTTAGCACTGAAAATATAATTTTTTCCGTAAGATGAATGAATTGTCTACAAAGCTGACCAATTCGTAATCTCATTTTTATTGCATTTTTGTTAAATAAGCTCTCAACAGATAATGTCAGTAGGCATGGAAATTGTTACGAACATTTATTACGATAAGTTGCGATATTAAAATAACAGTGTGCTTAGCTGCTGGAAAATTTTGAAACTGCCAGCTATTCGCGCCTAGTGGCACTGTAATCTGCATTGCATTTTCAACCCCCTTTTGCACTTTCACCCTCTCACTCGGTCTATTACGCGTTTTGTTTTCGTTTCCTTTTTTCCATTCCATGCAGTATTGTAGTTCCTATTTTATTTGTATTTTTACTGCAGTTGCGGGCACAACAAGTAGCGCAAAGACAAGCCGACGCATATTTTTGTATGCATATTTTTAATATACTGTGTAAGTTGAAGTTTATTTTGAGCAGAAAGTGTTTAAGTGAAGGCTTCAAGGCTCGTGCGGTCAAAGATTAGTCGTGATTGGTTAATGCCATTTAATTATTGTAAGTGCTGTGTTTAAGGTGAATTTTAGAGACCTTTGTGAACCCTGCTGCCGTGCGTATATGGATTAATCATATGAATATCAAATGTCTATATAGAGTGTATCGTACAGTAAGATCTCCCTTGAACGGCCATCAACAGTTGGTGTTGGCAGACACGTTCGACTTCCACAGGGACGGATATGGATTATTCATAGGAGTATCAGCTCTCTGCCGCCTTTTTGAAGATGGTTTATTCATACAATATCAAATGTCTGCGTACTCGTAAATAGTGTAATAAGTGTAAGCTCTCTTCAGCGGAATATAAATTTTCCATTCATTGCAAGTTCTCTTTCAGGCACAGGATATCCTTTGTTCCTCTGTATTGGTTCAGCAACAGAAAGAATTCTGTCTGTTTAGGGTTGGTTATAGGATCGATTCGAAACAAATTTTCCACACAGCAGCTGTCAGTTTATGGAAGGTTCTAAACTGTCCACCTGGAGAGCATTGACTGTAAAAGTTTCCGCTTGCAATTTGCATTTTATTTTGTTTCTTTGTTTTGCTGTTTTTGTTCTAACTTTGTAAATGCAATTTGCAAAATATACTTTCAAGGTCTTTCCCACAATAATTATACTCCATCTCTCTCTTTCGCTATATTCTATCTCACTCTATCTGCTTCTGCCCATTTCTTGACTCTACTCAATTGGCATTCAATTAATGGGGAAACGTTTTTGCAGCTTTTCTGCTTATCATTCCCATTGGAGTGGGACTTTGGCAGTAAAATCTCTCTAGTTATTTTTTTGTTCCAATGATAAGCTATATCGGTCAAGTTTGAGCATAATGTCATGCCGATAAAGTGACACACATGCATCATCCATGCAGCCCCAGCTGCTGCTGGCTGTATCTATTACTTTTTTTCTGTTCTTTTCCGCGCCGTCTTTTAATCTCCGAAGGTTGAGTGCCATTGACAGCTGCCGACTGGAGGTCGAGTGCAATCACCTCAACTCAGTGCAGGATCATCATATCATCATCATCATCATCATCATCGATTTCCACCACTTTACAGTTTATTCTTACAGTTTATTCAACTCGTTTCGATGAAGAGCAGCAGCACGCAGTCTTATAGGAATTGAAACAATGAAATGACCAAAAGAATATATTTTGATATTCATATGCAACGAGCCATTGTAAGCTGAGCCGCGTCTTCCTTTCAGAACACACCTTTCGATAGTACAATATACGAGAACATGGCATCGTAAAGTATGGTCATGCCTCGCGTGTCTCGAATTCTAATTTCTCTCCTCTTTCTGTTCGGTTCTTTGCGGGTTTCCGGTGGCTTTCTGGCCGACGCTCTGTTGTTGGCTTTTGTCCGTTTTGGTGGGTGGAAAGAAAGTGACGCATGGGTTCTGGGCGTAGAGATGGTACTTTGGTTGAGGGAGGAAGTGCTACTACGATTAGGAAAAACCAAAAATTGAAGTCGCTTTGTTAGTTGGGTAGTAATAGTAATTGAAGGTTCATTTAATGTGGTTTTTGGGGAGCATAAAATGGCATATTGAATGTGCATGAATCATTCTTTGATTTATGATTAGTTCTGTACTTTTTAAAGTTTTAGAATATTTTCTTTGGAAGACTATTTAAAAATCTACACAATTTCTGGCTATATAGAATGCATTTGTATAGATAAAGCTTAGTTCTTAAACTGTTGGCTAAAAGAATGCCAATAAATGTAGTTATTTTTCTCATGAAACTATTTTTAGTGAATATTTAACGTATTTTTTTTACAATTTCCCTGCATATTTCCCTCTGCACTTTAATTTCCTTGTACTTTTCCGATGGATCGCATCTGAGTTTGCATTATTACACGCTTAATTATGCCCTCACATGAAAGTCGGACTCTAATAATACTTGATTTCTCTTTTCATTGTATAACTGCTGCTTGTGAAAAAGCGTAATTATAGTACAAGTTTTCATTGCTCCTTTGCAATATTTTTACTTAGTTGGGTGCTTTTGGTTTTGGTTCGCTTAATTTGCAGCCAATAAAATCCCATCGCTAGATGGTGAACTATACCATGAACTATATACCAAAATTGGTTCCATTCAGCTGTTATCCGGTTCGCTCCCGTCTGTCTACGTTACCATCGTCATGTACGCCCCGGAGTTGAATCTTCCAGCCGAGATATCTGATACGATCATTAAACGTTTGATGGGGATATGGGAGCAGACCAAAATGCTAAGTAGAGAGGTAGCAAGCATGAGGCCGGCTTCACTTCACTTCGCTTCATTTCATTTATTCATTCATTAGATTCATTCATATTTAACTAACGTCACGCCAAATGGGCTGGCCCCCGAGTACGTTACCGCTCACCCATCGCGCTGCGGAACCTGCAATGGTGTGCATGCCAATCAGGCACAGAGTCTGTGCAAGACAGTAGAAAACTCAGTGCCCAGTCCCAATACCAGACTCTTCCTATGGTCCCTTTTCTCCCCCGATCAGCCATAATTAGATGCCAAATGACGGGGAGTCCGATTCCAGTCCGTGTGCTGTACGTAAGCCGATTTGGCTCTGGATATATATAAATATCTTTATAGTATATATTTATATCTCATTAGCAAAACATTTGGCGTCCAAAGTGGACTTTTAATAATGCGATTTTATTTTCTTGCGATTTCTGGCCCGGCATAAAGAAAGACTTCACTTCGCAGGTTCGTTTGCTCATTGCTGGATGATTCTTCTATTTTTTGTGTGTGCTCAGATTGTTGCTTTATGAATTTGTTTATTTTGCCGTGCTATCATCTTGGATTTTTTTGTTTTGACTAAATCTCTCTAGTGTGAAAGTGTGGAAAAAATTAAAAATGATCATGAACCCAGATGATGAGATGACCCATGGGGTAAGTTTTCTAATTTATTTGGGTTCATTTTGCGACGCACACGCTCTATCTTCATGTTATGTCCCACCGATGGTTATCACGGTTTTTATACTATACTGGAATCTATAGAATTTTGGAATCTATAGAATTTTGTATAAATTGTATACAGATCCTACATAGATTGCGAAGAATCCAAAGATTTTGTCACCTCTATGCGGTGACACGTGTTACCTAATCAGCTGTCTCGGTCTCGGGCTTATACTCGTAGCAGGAATCAACAGACCCTTGATGACGATCATCATCATCATCCCGTCAACGTGATCTTTGCTTGCGTAGTTTCGCCTCAGACGACAAAGTGTAATTTGTTCGTTAGCTTTCAGTGCATTAAAGCTTAAGTTGTCAACCGAATTGTATAAGCAAATGGGCTTCCAATTCAATTAAAGCAGCTTAATGGATTCTGGGCCCTTCTGATAAGGTTTAGACGGGTGACAGGTTCTTGGAGAGAACTTTAGTCCCTTCGTGCCTTCCCAATAAATTCAATTTCTATATATGTAAGTCAAGGGCTTATATTAAAATAAGTCTATTGTGTACATCAAAGGGAAACACTTAAGTTTCGAATGCTCCAAATCATATATATAACTGGACTAGCAATTTTTTGTTTTTGTTTGAGGTAATTAAACCTCGAAAAACGTTGAAAAGTTCCTTTTTTGTAAACAACTTGAATGACTCAAATAACAACAAAAACATATTTTGTTCTGTAGTAATAATTTAATTAGGTAATAATGCAAAACATGAAAGTCTTTTAGTTAGTTTTTACAAGGTGAAAATATACTCAATTTTGTGTTAAACTTTGTATAAACAAAGAGCTACTTTTTCTTCAGGTATTTATTGTTTGAAAGACAAGGACGTTGAGGAAAAATATCCCTAAATAGCTCGCTTACTTAAGGCTAACCAAACAAATTTATTATTTATATATGTAGATCTAGATCTTTAAATAAATTCGCAAATTTGTGTAATTTTTTTAAACAATTTCCGGAAATTCCTGTGTGCACTCAAACGAGATTTCAAAAGCATTTAAAAAATGTTTTACCAAAAACGTTTAACTTGCAATTAAGGTGTGACTATTTTAAGCCCGCAATGCACTCTCCCAGAGTGATTCACCCAAGCCAGAGATTGAAGCAACTCCCACAAGAGCTTTGAGTTATTTTATTTTTTCCAGCGACAATTACTCGAGGGGGAAAAATATCGTGACGTTGTCTCGCGAGTGGCGAATTAGAAATTCAAATGCAGCTCCAACAAATACAAACTCTCAGGTTGTATTCGGAGGGAATCCACGTAACTGAGATAAATCATCTGAAGAGGATTGAGTAATATTTCGATCTATGCGACAAACGAGTAACATTTCATTGGCCAAAGTTCGTGGGAATCGCTGCAAATGTTGGGTAGCTGGGAGGGAGCATACGCAATTGGTAGCCTAATCATTTGATGTACCAAGAATAGGAATATTATCTACCACATTGTTTATTGTTATCACCGGCATCATCGCTTGGAAAAACCACATAATTGGGGAGTGAGCTGATAAACAGGGCAAATATCTGCATTATCTGCGCCGGTGGATTGCTATCTTGTGTTGACCCATCCAATGACGCTTATCTCCCGCCTGTAGCTGGCAAATTAATTACTCGCATTCCCTCCTCCGTTGGCATCTAAGGCTAGATGTCGAAACATCCACATTCAGAACTGAACTGCGCCATTTATCCAAGCTGTGGGTTACAATTGCTCGGTTCACGAACCCAACTCAATCACCATAATTTGATGCTATAAAAATCGATGGGCCGACCTAATGGCTGCCTTTAGATTAGACCGATAGAGCTCCATCCGGCTTGCAGATCACGTTATTATCAATTATCAACACAAAATGCTTATCCGACAAGTTGAACGCGATTTGCCTGTCGTCTAATTGCTAGTTAGGCAATTGTCTGTCTATCTCGTACAATGTTAGTATTCGGGATGGCAATACAATCAGTCATCGATAGATAGATATAGAGATGAAAGGGGCAAGGGCTAGGCTAGAGGGCAATGGCTAAAGGTATGGTTTTTGAGATGCGTCCAGGTGCTATTGGGTGATATGGGGAGCTAGGGTAGGGCTTAAAGTTGTACCCTGATCGAAGATCAAAGAATTCTTGTCAGGAATTGATTGACTAATTGATTGATTACGCAAGTTTATCGGCTTAAAGGGATTGTTTTGGCCCGAGTGAGCAGAATTTTAAAGATTATTAAATATGCTTTGCATTCCATGTTGTCAAGGTGCCAATGGGTGAGAAGGAAAATATTTGTGCGAAAGTTTATAAACCTTATTGGAACCTCTCTGAGAAAATACATACATATAGGATGCGCCATTATTATAAATTGAGAGTTTTAGATTGTTTAATTCCACCCCTACAATTATACAAAAGATAACATACAAATAGAAAAAGCATCTTAGTTTTATAGAACCCATTAAAAACCAGTAAAAGATACAGATAAATGTAACCTATAATAGGAGTACACCGTGCATTCCCCACCAATTATCCAATTCCAACTAAATTCCTTAACGAACTGCCGATTTGCGTAACCCCTTTTCAAACCCTAGCATTAAAAGTCCATTTAAGGGCTACAGCTAATTGCTGACAGCCAATAATTGATTTATTTATAAAACAAATTTCCGATTTAACCCACAATAAAACCCAAATAACACTTAATAGCCAATCAGTCTTCCAATACCCAGAGCACAATAAGAGATTTTCCATATCACAGGAAATTTAGTTGCAGAAACCGCAGAGTGAATCACCAGAAGAAAGACAATTGCGAATCCAATATGCAAGCGACGTCACCAGGGAAACTTGTGCCAAACCACGCACGGAGCTAAGCCCCAAGAAACGGCGAGAATTACCCAAGAGAGAGAGCAGCTTACCCGTTTATAACAGCAAACGGTACCAATATGGAGGTCAGGGACTGGTAATTTACACTCCATTACAACAATACAAAAACCCACCGCCTAACGTAATGTAACGTAAGCTGCCGGCAAGAGAGCGAATCGATACAAAGAGCGAGAGAGAGAGAGAGAGAGCCAAGAGCGTGCGCGAGGGAGAGAACCCAAACGAAGCGTGAGAGCAAGCGATCATCAGCTGTGTGCTGGAGCAGCTGTTGTTGGAGCTGGTTGGGGTCTGGTCCTATAAGAGCCGTGGGGAGAGCACTTTACCGTTTATTTGTGGCGAGCGTCGCGTTTGGTGCGCACGTGTAAACGAAACAGTAGTGCTAAAGGGGGAGACCCAAGAAGCAATAAAGTAAAGCAACATCGAAAAAAATAGTATATAATGTACAGTGGCGTGGCTGACAAATACAAAAAACACAATTGAAATTAATTTACGCGCCGCTGCCCATCTGCATAAGTTCAATGAAGGAGGCAAAAGAAGAGTAAAACAAAGCCTCGCAAACATACATACAGCGAGTCGGTCGTCGTCCCTCTCGTTTCCACCCAAGTGAATGTCAGTCCGAAAAGGAAGAAAGTGCAACAAAAAATCGAATTCAATTACACAAAAATAAAACCAAGCCGCAAATGATATAAAGAGAATCCAAAAACAGTCGCGTGTTTGTGCAAGTCAAAGAAAAACGTTTTTTTGGTCTCAAGTTTTCTTATATTTTCCCAGTGGATGTGTTTTCATTCATGAATTGCGTTCTGTGTAGATGCTTTTCAACTTGTCAATTGCTACGTCGCATTGCCTTGGTCCATATGCGCACTCGTATTCTCCGTCTCAAAGAGAAGAATATTATTAGTAACTATAGCAACGGCATTAGTCACAAGAAGAAGAAATTTTCAACAACAAAGACCAGCTAAAGCATTGAATCGAAACGAAACGAAAGAAAGAAGAAAGAGCGGGAGCGCAGTCAACAGGTTCGTTAACATTACCCAACCTCTGACCCACTAACAGAAGAGGGAGTGTGAGAATGTAGAAGAGTTTAAACGAAAAAGCGAGAAAGGCATGTGGAGAGGTGTGTGCAGGAGATGGGGATAACGAAAGCATACGTATGAGAGAGCACTCCTGTCAGACCTGTATGACATTTACTGGCAGTTTGGTCAGGGTGAACATTGGATACTCCGAAATAATAAATTGTTTCCTGGAAGAAAGAGTTCTTAAGTTTTATTACTTGTAGGTAGAAGAAGGTAGAACAAGACACAAGGAAAATAATAACGTTGGAGGAAATAAAATAAATGTTGTGCTTTTATTTCGAAGCTAATCGAAAAAAAAAGATTCAACGAAAGAATATAAGTAAATATGTTCATAGCGCTGTTAAAGGCTTTCCAAAAATCCAATCAAGTTAACTACAACTAGTCTTCAAATCAGCTGCTTTCCATATAAACTACTTTCACTTGTAAAGAGCATTGGCTTGCAAGCCACAAAACAGCTGATTTACTGATACTGCCTGGTGTTACATTTCACAAGCATTGTATTTTAATTACTAAATTCTAAACCGTTTCAAGTATTCAACAATCAAATTAGTCATATTTCTTGCCCGCATAGAAAGTAGTTGCCTCTCACAGTGCAATGAATACTAAGTGAGTGTCATATGGCTATGAAATGCCTGCTGCACATGTGTTCTTTGGCCAAACGATCAATGGGGAAGAAAAAGCTTCTATGCTCTCTCTCTCTCTATCTGCCACTCCCACTCTTTGTTTTAGACAGAACTTGAAAATGTAGGCCACAGTGCTACAACGCGTACAGTGGAGATCGACGCGATTAAGCGATCTCTGACTAGTGGGCACACATTTCCAGTTATATCATTCGATCTGGTGCTTTGCTTAACGTATTCATGACTCGGCCTGCTGGAACATGTGCATGGAATAACAATTTACAATTTGTTGCGGGAGTTGCAGGCGCACTTCTAGCAGTCACTGGGTTGTGGGCATAATAATCACTCCATGAGAACTCTCGGAATGCAAATCGCAGTTAAAATTTATACAGTTTTGTGGCTAATCTAAAATGTGTTAGTAATTAGGCGCGGAAGCGGTTAAGATAATTATTTTTGACAGGGATGCCTACTTCAGCTAATTATAGCCCTCTTTTAAATTTAAATAAAATGCAAATTAACGTTGAGCTAAACTTTAGCAGTATGTATCTCTATAGCAGGTCCAGCTCTAAAGTAGCTTCATTTCTCCTTTAAATTTCCACTCAAATCATCTTAATTTTCATTAATTTTATCTCATTACGTGATCTTGCATACCATACCTTTACGGATTGTAAATACAAATGAAACAAATTGAGAACGAATATACAATACACAAAACCATATACAAAGGTACAATACATATCATATATCATATACAAACCTAATATAGCGGTCATTGGCTGACTGATGGATCGACTACTCAATCAACAATCGTGTAGTATAAAAATTTGAAAAGAGAGAAGAGCTGAGAAATATTTGCCTACCAGAAAGCCAAACAAACATTTTTGTGCCGGCTACTGCGACATTTCATGGAAAGAGTTATTTTGAGTCAGCCTCTACAGTCACTCCCACCGCTTGGGCATACATATTTATGTATTATATATACAAATGTATGCGTATAGCAATGCTCTGATCCGTGCTGACCACGTGCTGACCCTGACAATGTCACTTTTCCCTATCGCTATCCAAATGTGACTCTTGGGGTCGTATTTTTCGAACTACTCGTAAAAATATGCTTCTCAGTTTTATTTTATCGTGCTTTCCGAAACGATCAATTGCCTCATTCTATTGTACGTTACCGAGTAGTACCTACTCTTTTTTTTCCAGTAGTATTATTTGTTGTGCTGTGTTCTGAAGTTGTTTCATGTTCTGTCAAAGTTTCGTGACTTTAATGGAAATGGCGATCGTTTTTTTAGTTTTTTTTTCTTCTGTGAGTTTTATGTATTTGCATGTCAAAACAGCAGACGGCAGCAAATGAGTAATTTGCATTGACTGAGTAAGTTATGGGCCAGGCCGTGAGTGTCCAAAGGTCCCAGCCACAACCTACCTTTGAGAGTTCGCTGTTGAGAGTTTGCCAAAATTTAAATTACATTTACTTGCAGTAAGTTGTTTCGGTTCGGTGCTTCTGAACTACTTTTGATAGCAATTTTGCGATTTTTTCGTTGGTAATTATATGGCATGTGCGCAACATAAATCTTATAATGTCAGGGATATTTTTTAATGAACTAAATGGCAGTTGGAAACTTATATAAAAGCTTTATAAGTCTGCTATCTGCTCTTTAAGATCTGCTTTAATGCCATAGCTCAAAGCTTTATTAATTTATGTACATGAATAATTTCACAACTTCACTTAAAGTACATCACTTGTCCAGCTTAAGAACGGAATAATCTAACAACTTTTATCAGATATTCCTAAGAGCCAATGTAACCTATCCATCAAATTTTGTCTCAATAATTTATACAATTCACTCTTTCGGAGTAAACAATCTTTCAAAGCAAAGCCATTCCTTTCACGTAACATTCTCATTCATTCAGCATTCTTTCAGTTTCATATATATGTACATAAATACATACTCGTATGTAGTATACCCGTTTGGATATTTACATATTTAAATAATTATGTCATACAGCCAGCCAACACCATAAATTGTTCAGCAATTGTCGTGCCCTGCCCCAATCAATAGAATATAACGCCGACACAGACTCAATGAAACTGCACTCGAAATGCACTCGAAAGAGTTCTAGTTGTATCAAGATCATATCAGACTTGATCTTGATTTGATTTTTGGCTAATTTTCGGTCTCTAAAGAAAATGATTTTGCAGCTTTTTTTGTGCCTTGTTTTACTTGTATTTGTTGATTTTGGTGTATTTCTTGTAAACTGGTTTTCTCGGTCTTTGCCTACTTTTGAGTTTGACAGTCTACTACTGAGGGGCAGCCGGCCCGCCAGACACCAACCTCCTTACATCAAAGTCAATATCAGTTTACCACTCGTGGAGTTGTTTGGCAAACATCTACACAAAAAAATATCTAAACTTGTAAAAAGAAGACATGCGAGTATAGTGAGAAATGCTGTAAAAGATGTAAAGCGACTTTTAAGCATTTTATGGCGGCAATTGGCGTATTTTTGTGGACACACTTATCGGCGGTGTAGCCTAGATCTTTGGTTGGTTGAATGACACTTCGAAGGCCTTTTTTTAGTAAAAAAAACTACTGGAAGTATGATATTTAATGGAAAATATTTATCTTACACGAATTTGGGATGGTTTTTTCTCTAGTTCTTTAGATTCAATTACATGTTTTCCACCAGTTTCTTGTTTACTTTTCCATTAGCGCCAATCCATTTCCCACACTATTTTCTGATAGTTTTCTTTTCTTGTGCTCCAAAAATACCAGTATCCCAGTATTAAACAAATATTTGTCAAACACACAAACAAAGTTTTAGAGCATTTCTTTATTTAGTATTGCCAAGTTTTTGTTTACTTAATTTGTTTGAACGTAAGCCTCGAACCTGACCTATGTCAAGGTTTTGACAAATTAACAGACCTTAGCTAATCGGACAACAAACAACCGTATATCTGTCGCTGTCCTAATTAATACTTAACAGCTAAATTAACAAATATTTACCTTATTTGTATCAGAACTTTATATAAACTTGATATAAAACTAATTCCAGAAATGATACAAGTAAGATTTTAAGCCACGAATTTCACTACATTTGCATTGTGTCCAGTCATCGCTTGACCACAAAAAGAATTTATCCAAAATGACAAAGCAGAAATACATATTTGAGTTTTGGTTACAAGGAGAGAACATTTTTGGGTAGTCGGCTGATAAATGCTTACCGATAGACCAAAAATAGTCTGCGCATAAAACACATTAAGAATGGAAGAGGAGTTCTTTCTAGATAAGAGATCTACTGACTGAAAGACTTTTGGGGTGTTGGCCATCCATCAGAATGGAAAAGGGCTTGAAATTGTATAGAAATGGTGTCTGTCCATCATATCCATCCAGAACATAGAATCAAAGTCCACAGAGGATTGCCTATCCATTAGATTGAGTATCGTTGACATATAGAGAAAAGTCTGTCTAGCCATTAGCTTGAAATTCCACAAAATATTGTGGACAGAGTTATCTTATTAAAACAATAATTTTTTATGAATATTCGTTTGCACACTACTCACAGAATTCTCACATTACAATAACTTTCTTTGTTCGCATGAAACAAAGCAATTAATTAATCTGTCGCAGCAGAGAGATATATGTATATATTTGTAGAGTTAATAAAGTGTCACGAGCTCTAAATTGTGAAATCTAAACGAGAGAACGCCCACAAAAATAAGTATGTACAATTCGCAATCTATTTTTTGTTTTGAAAGAAAATAACGCCCCAGCTAACGAGCGCCAACAAATTGTTAGGGTTTCTGACTATTATTATCCTAAGCCGATACTTAAAGCATCTGTATAATAATCTGGGAAATGGAATGATTGCTTAAAGCAATAAAAGTGAGGAAAATTGTACAATAATTTATGGGGTGAGACGATACATATGTGAAGTTCATTACTTGGTTGTTGATCTTTGGAACTCCACAAATGGAATGAAAATGTGGAAAGAAATCGGATTTTATATAAATGGAATGAATCAGAGATTGATGGGCTGGACACTGACGAGAATTTGGCTTAAATTTAACAAATAAAAGTTCATGATCTCCCCGGAAATTTCTCCACTTAAAAATCCTTCTATAACTCTCTATTTTCTTTCCTTTTCAGAGCTTTAGACCCTCTCCCGGAGCAACACATAAATATGACACTCTTGCCAGACATCAAACCCTCAGATGCCGCCTGCTGTGGTGGTGGGGCTGGCAGTGATGCCAGCAGCACCTCCGGTGCCAGCACACACAAGGCGCACCTACAAGGCAAACACCACGACAGTGGCTGCCTGGGCATCAATTGTTGCACCACAGCCGCCAGTTCAGAGCTATCCATCGATGAGACATCGTCCACATCATCCAGGGGATCGGATGCCCTGGCAGAGAAGGTGAACAACAATTTGAATGTGTTCCAGAGGCCCAACTTTCATGAGGGCATGACGCATGCCAATTTCGATCATTGCGAGCCAGTCGATATTGAGTTTTCCGAAGTGCGATATCAAGTGAAAAAGTTTTCATTTCCAGAAAGAAAATTTGGTGAGTTTTCTTCAGAAAGAATGTGCCAACCAAGATAACTGATTGTGGTTAATTGATTTACAGTCGCTAAGGAAATTCTTCATGGTCTGAATGGCAGCTTTCGTTCGGGAGAATTGACAGCCATCATGGGTCCCTCGGGGGCGGGCAAGAGCACTCTGTTGAATGTCATGTCTGGCTTCTGGTAAGTGTTTCCCTCACACTCGCACTTGAACTTGAAAATTCAATTTTCTTACTGCTGCTCAGAGCTGTGAGTGATGTATCACTGAATATCAGGTTTCCGTCGATTTAATTACATGTTGTTCATATCGTACGAGTATAACGAATATAAAGCGCAGACACTGCATTCGTTCGTTCCATCAATCAACACATTGTTCAGATGTCAGCAATGCCGAGCAAATTGCTCTGGCTTGTATGGTAGCACACTTGATTATGAATATGTATGTACGAGTGTATGGCTATAGGATATACAGAAGGGGCGGCATTTTAAGTGGTCCCTAATGGGCTGATATTTAATTAAAGCTACTAGATAAGCAAGCGATTATTGCCTTAGGTTTGAGGAATATAATACCGCAGCTCCACTGGGTCACGCGTACACAGTCGTTTGCGTCACGTGCGAAGTTTGGATGCAAAAACCGAGAAGGAACAAACACAAGAAAATAGCTCAATGCTCATACCATCCTCCAAAACTATACAGATAGCATATGTACTCTATTTTCATGGTCTACACTTCTGAAAGTGATTAACAATCTGTAGTTTTATTTTTGAATATTAAGCTTGGCCTTCCGTCCCGGACATAATCGCACTACTTCTCTCTGTCCCTCTCAGTCGAGACATCGGCTGACAAAACAGTTCAAGTGCCCATTGCATAAGTAGAACTTCAGACCGAACCGAATGCACTCTGATGAGTGATTCATAGGCTATACATTGAATGGAATGGAAGCGACCCTCCGCTGACGCAACTGAAAGGAAATCTGAAATCTGAATGTAATCTTTCTATATTTTTGATGGCCAACTGACAGCTATTACAGCATTAAGCAATTTGAGCCATATAATTAATAAATACAAAAAAATGCACGTGTGGAAAGGGAAATTGCTCGAATCGATTCGAATCGAGTCTCAGTTGTGGATTGTGTCTGTAATTACGAGTACCTAGTCTGGTATCACAATTAAAGTAATATGGCTGTTGGCTCGGCAAAAGAGGCACCGCCAGTGGCAAGACGAGGCGTTTCCACAGCTTTTCATTGCTAAACGTTATCGGTCAGTAAACTATGAACTTGAAACGTGTACGAGGCGGGGCATATACATTTATTTTAAGTTCGGCTCGTTTCGAGTTCAGAGTGGTGCCGCTAAGCCTCTGGGCCCAGACATGTACGGAGATGTTTATGTTGTGTTTGTTTTTTGAAGGCTCGTGGAGTGAACTCGTGAGCTCGTTAACATTCTTATAATAATTATTTTAATTGTTTGTATTTTTGCTGATTTTCATTTGTGATTTCTTCCACTCATTTCTCTGACAGTGCCACTGGGGTGTCTGGCAATATACGAGTGAATGGCAAGCCCATGGCTCCCAGTTCCGAGAGATTCCGTCAATTGTTGTGCTACATCCATCAGGATGATTTGTTGCGTCCCCAGTTAATGGTTGGCGAAATAATGCTTCTGGCTGCACATCTTAAACTTGGTTTTAAGGTTAGCAAGGCCTACAAATTGGATTTGGTGAGTAAAAGCAGAACAATCTCCATCCAAATGTTATCTTACATATAGTTTTGCGCATCTATTTTTATTTTATCTCAGATTAAACACATCTTATCGCTGTTGGGTCTGGAACATCGTTATAATGTGCATACGGCAAAGCTTTCGGGTGGACAGAAGAAACGTCTCGCCATTGCCCTGGAGCTGATAAGTAATCCTCCAGTACTCTATCTGGATGAGCCAACGACGTGAGTACTAGTACATAAATATATGTACATTTCATAAGTATGGGTACATTTATGTAATTAGCGTGGCCATGATAATGATCGTCATCTGATGAAGCACGGATGATACTCTGTACTGATACTGAAGTTTCCTATGTGTACATATATTAGCGGAAATTCATAAAAAAAAAACCCAATGGCGGCTGACCCACAAGTCAAGTTTGCTTGTGTGTCTATATTGCTTCTGGCTTATCTGTTTCTATATACATATATTTATATTATTTTTATACATGTTTTTTTCTATATTTATTTAGTTTTTGTTTTGACCGATTGGGTTCATTGAGCAGGAAGAACCAGCAAACGTTTAAGCTGTTTAATTATTTAGAACCGATTGCTGAATATCTAATGTCGGATGAGTTTATCAATCCTATAAATATTGGATTAAGTGACAGTTAAGTCCACAATTAATAGTTTGTTTGACAGCTCCACAATTGATTGAGTTGTACTGAATGTTTTAATTCAATTTGATTGGAATAATTAAAAGCAAAAACGCTCCATTCAGTGACTAGAAATCTCTCAAAGGGCAAGCACGTTGGATTCAATTATTTCCAAAAACCTTTCTCAGCACGGAGTCCAGAAGTCTGGACTGTAGAACGATAGATCCGGGTTCACTCTCAGTCAGAAAGAATCAAGAGATTTTATTTTTAATACGTTTAAGTGGAAAAAACGTCCAATTGAAACTTACTTTGTTGCGAGCTGTTGCCAAAGTCCCTCTTTGGATGGGGACCTTTTTTAGCCTTTCCCTCCAGCGTCTAGACAGAGACTTAGTCCAATTAATTCTACCATTTAATGTGCTCTGATGACTCTCCAGATTTTCGTTCTCAAAAAAGAAATGTTAAAATCATTCCCTGACTGTGCAAATAATTTCTGAAGGGAATGGAAAATTTTGAACTGGAAAATCCACGTCGATTTTCATAATGAAAATTGCTGTGGCAAGCAATCAGATTTCCACATGTTTGTAATATCACCATATCACTGATCTTATCGACTTGTTTTTGTATATAAATTATAAATCATCAGCTACAGGGCAGACTCTGTCTAGCATTTCATCGTTAATGGCTTCAACCCTGCGGGGAGGGACCAGTTTTAATCGATACCCCGAGCCACAGAGTGCCGCAGAGCTACCGATAGATGCTATAGTGTCTCGCCTGATGCGGATCAATAAATTAGATTGTAAACGCCCCAAACCTTTGTAATGCCAATCAGGCTTGCAATGGTTAATGGGTTTTTGTGTACACCAAAAAACTAGTTTTGTACTTTCATCAAATCAAATCAAGTTCAAACAACAATCTCTCATTCATGCACAACCATAAAAAGTAAGAAATTGTGCAATTTCTTAGTGTCTTTCTTTGGGTTTTTGGGGGTTCTTTTCTCTCACGCCATAATTCGGTTTGATGAGTCGCCAAGTTGCGAATTTATTGCCATAGGTTAGGTGTACAGCCATTAAAAGCTGTTGAGTCATACCGTACTTAAAGTGTAATTTGTTTTCTCTCTCATTTTTAGTGGTCTAGACAGCTCGTCGTGCAGTTCTTGCGTGGCGCTGCTGAAGAAACTCGCCTCCCAGGGCCACACCATTGTTTGCACCATTCATCAGCCCAGTGCTTTGATCTTTGAGATGTTTGACAAACTCTATACGGTGGTCGATGGCCACTGCATGTACCAGGGCCCAGTGCGAGAGCTGGTGCCGTTCCTTGCCGAACAGCAGCTCGTCTGTCCCAGCTATCACAATCCAGCTGATTATCGTAAGTAGACATCTATAAAGATCTCATCAATCTATGCAGATCTCCAATCTATATGCACATATTTTATATATAAAACTCATTTGTATGTTGTATCCAGTGCTGGAGGTGGCCGTCGGCGAGCATCAACGTGATCTGAATGAATTGATTCATGCGGCGAATAAAAAGTATTACGAGGATGTTGATCGATATCGTTATATGAGCAGTACGGATGTCTCACGGCTCATGGCAACAATAAAAGGTAAGAGTGTCTTTTGTATGACTCTCTTGAGGAGTTTTGGGGGAGATTTTTTTGTTAAAAGTTGGAGTTTATGTACTTTGAATTTACAAATAGATATCTGTATTTATAGGGCCATGTAATTTTCGCCGTCTGTGACTTGAAATTATTTTGTGCTTGGGAACTTTTAGGGAAATTTAATAGTCACCAATCCAGCTCCTGTAAAATTAAGGCTAAAACCATAACGAATTTTTATAAATTTCTTCACATTTGGTTTATGTTTAGCATATTTTTCTAGTACACTTGCTAATTTCTTTCAAAAGTTGGCTCAAAATAAAGGTTTTTTTCCAGCTTAAGTATGATCTTTGGTTAGATCTCTAAACTTCAGCCCAAACTTTCTCTAATCCCCTTTGGGGTTTTCTCCACCTTAATTGCAGACAACATTGGAGCCAAAGAGTTGAGCACTTCGAGTCAAATGCTGCCAACAGTTGCGCTGGCGCAATTCTCCAGCTACGATTATGTGAAACCGGCACAGCAGGAACTGGCGCTGGAGGAGATCAAGGCACTAAGTGGCTCCACGGAGCTGGAGTTGGTGGATCAAGAGCAATCAGAGAATCAGCAACAGCAGCAGCTGCCACTAGCCAATGTCAAAGCGACCGTCAAAGAGCTTGCCAAGCCGTCGAATGCCACCAGCTCGGCCTCGTTCCTCATGCAATATGTGCTCCTGATGCAACGCATCATGATCTGTGCCCGTCGCAACTACGTGAGTTATACTTGAATGCACAAATTAAAATGAATTATATAAAATATGGATAGCCATTACTTTAATAAGCCGGTTTTTAGGGCTTGTCCTGGATGGCCTGTCACTTTGATTTGGTAATTTGTCTCTCGCTTTTTGGTAATTTGTCCTCGAAATGTAACCAAAATCCAGTTCCGATCTCATTTTCAGTGTAATTTTCTAACTGCACTGTTTTAATGTCTGGTGTTTACTTTTATTTCGTTTTTTTTGTGGGTAATTATTGTTGCTTTACTTTATAATTTCATTTCATTTAATTGTCATATGTCTTGCTTACATTTTAATTTATTGCCAAAACAAAAGGGAGGTTTGCGGCAGTTTGCTACGCTTTCGGATTTTGCCACAAAAGCTAAACACAAAAATTGAGATTTATGTGTGGCTTAATGTCTGCGGTCTCAAGTGATATAATCCATAGACTTAATGGCTGGCACAAGGAGGTAATTGCTGAAGGTTTCCAAAGGCTCTTCATGGCCTTATGTTAATACAATAACTTATAATTTGTATTGCCCTATGTGCGCACAATTATAGTGTGCTTCATGGCTTGTGTGTGATTTATTTCTTCATATATCAGGCAGCTCTTGAAACACTTGCCATAAGTGCGCTTGAAATATTCTCCTTAATTTGATACTCCACCAAAAGTATTTACCAAAAAAATTGTGTTCACCTGAAACCCTTGAGAATTTATTCCATGGAAACTACTTTGCAGTTGGGACTCAAGTCAGATTCATCTGAATAAATCTCATGAAATCAAATGCCCTATCCCTAGCTTCATTTGAATTATTTACCCATTATATGACACAGTTGAGAGCTCGTTTAGTTTTATATCTTTGCCTATTTGCGCTTATTGTATGGCAGGTGTGATAAATATTGAGTGAGGGCAAAAGTTTAAATATTTACCATGGCAAATGAATCAATTACCGCGCTAGAGGCATCGGCATCGGCATCGTCTAAAAGCGATTCCCACAAGATTGATGGATGACGTTTATCATCTGAATGTGAGCAATTAGCACATGAGATTTGTTTTAAATGTGAAATTGTTTAATGAATAATTAGCATTAGCGTCCGGCCATAATTTTGTTTGCTGCCTGCAGCCCCTCGCGACCGCTGCACAAAATGATTAAGACCGATGTGCATACACTGCAATTGTGCTTTGAGTGAATGTTTTAGCACCTTGCCAATTCGCTATTGACTTGTCAAACACCCCGGCCGAACACACCAAAGACCGACGATTGAAAAGTTCTCAAGTTGTCCCAGTGGCAGCAGAGAACCACTCAACCGGGCCATCGCTTCAACGAGCTATTCCACAACTCTAACAACTCTAACCTTCACATAGATTTCGGTTTTTAGCGTGTTCTAATGACCAACTGGGACTGCACGAGTGCTTCTGTGGATACCCAGTCATCTGTGCAGTTGAAAATTGGGAATGTTTTGTTGTTGATTGAACCAAAGATTCTTATAGGATAGTTGCAGGCAGAAACGACGGACAATTCACAGAATAAAGATGAATAATGCGATGGAGGACTTTATTGGAAACTAGGAATCTGTTTCCCGGGTACCATTTAGTCGCTCTAACACGACTTTTGTTTTGTTTTTCTACTCTGCCTCCTCATGAATGTATCTCTAATGTACGTGTACGCCTTTTATCTTTTTCAGTTTCTGCTGCTGGCCCGAATCTTTTCGCACATTTTCATTGGCGTTGTGTTTGGCTATCTCTACCTGAATGTGGGCAACAATGCACAGAGCGTGCTGGGCAATTACGTCTATCTGTACGGCTCGACACTGCTCTTGGTCTACACTGGCAAAATGGCTGTGGTCTTGACATGTAAGTTGTGTAATGGGGGATTGTGTTTGTCTGTTCAAGTATATCGAGTGTTTCAGCGGTAGCCACTGGTGTGCAGCCTTAGCCTCAGTCTCAGACAGAGACTTTCCCATTTTCGGCTAATACTTGGCAGTCAATGATTCTTGTGGCCAACAAAAATTATGCAAAATGTTGTCCCCAAAATTTGGTCGAAACTGCAGCTGCTGTTGATGCTGTTCTCTGGGTTGGTCTCTTGTGCAATGGCTATTTATTTTGGCCACCTTTTGGCTTTGGCTTTGTGTCTCTAGTTGTTGTTTTTAGGCAATTCTATGTGATTGTCAACAGCCATATTTATGTATGTATCTATTACTTGTATTTTTGCGGAATGCTGATTGGCCAATACTTGTGTTCTTGTGGCAAAAAGAGCAAAGATTAGAGTACAAGATAGTTGATCATTAGTCTGGCCTACGTCTGGTGATCAATGTGCGAAGATATCACCGAATTGTATGGCTTGTTCGAAAGAATTGGCAAAACTGAAGATCTTATGAATATGTAGACATAAATACACGAATAATGAAGACTTCAATGGAGGAGAGGAAGCGAGGAGTGGTAATGCCACTGAGGAACAGGAAAATAATTATCCAAAATATCAAATTAATATGTATAAATATGCAGTAAAAAAAGCACAAGCGAAAAGCGGCAACTGGTTCTGCAATAAATACCAGTAGCGGATAGTCAAACAAATCATTAGGCTTTAAAATCGATTAAATTTGACATAAGGAAATTAATTCGAATTTGTTGAAAAAAAATGGAACATGCCTACAATTATATTCGCACATTAACCTCCTCCACAAGGTCGCAGATCTCCCATCAGCTTAAATGGCTAAACGTCGAACCACTTTGTCATTTATAATTTCCATGTAAATTATCCCCCAAATGAGTTTCTCACCTTAAAAAATTCGACACAAAACAAGCATCCTGAAGCCTAAAAAGTAAATAATCATAAAGTACCAGACGATAAGCGTATGGCCAAGCGACACACGCTTGGGGGGCTATGGCTATTGTATAATAAAACCGGTATAATCGTATGAACGATTCTCAATGCATTTTTTTTTAATAAATGAGTCCATGTCAGGGATTGGGGTATCTCTTACGAGAGAGAGAGTGGCAGAGAGCGAGAGATCAAAGGGATAAGGGGAATGGGATGGGATACGAGTTAAGATCTTTACCGGTTTCGGTTTACTGACCTGACCTACATAGGTACATGCACAAATGAACGTATATTTTAACCTTCGTGCAAATATCGTATTTAATAACATTTCTGAATTAAATTGTATTTGCAGTTCCGCTGGAAATTGACATGCTGACAAGGGAGCACTTTAATCGCTGGTATAAACTCGGGCCGTACTTCCTATCGCTGATCTCCTTCGAGATACCCTTTCAGGTAGGTGATTCCCACCCGCATTCCACATAACCCATCAATCATTATTTAATGTTTAACAATCATAGCTGGTGGTGATGGGCTTTTGTTTAATGAATTGCTGGTTCGGTCATTAAGTCAAATTAGCGACGTGAAATCGCTGATTTTCAGGTTTGTTTTGCGTGACAGACTCGAGTAAGTGGCCAGACCCGTGGACTGGACCCCACTGACAATTTCGCTACCAGCAATTCCCACCGAAACGATTGTTCGTTCAGCGAGCGAGTGAAATTTCCACGTGCTGTTGATTCGCTTTGCTTTCGTTATACTTAATGGATTGCTGGAACGAGAGAATCTTGAACATCGCTCGAGAACGAGTAATCAAAGCATTCACCACTTGAGTTCTCAATTGGTTCTGATCGAATCGAATCAAACAGGCATTCGTTTAGTCATGCCTTAAAAATTACGAGTTGGGAAGAGATTTGTTTAACTATTTAAAGATTACCATTTCGTACTCACATTAAGTACTAATCTTTCCCACTTCCCTTACTTAACCTTCTCCTACATACTCGTACATCTTACAGAGCCTCTGCACCGCCCTGTACATCATCATCAGTGTACATTTGACGGGCAATGATAGCGTCGAGTCTTTTCGCATTTATTACTTTATGCTGCTGGGAATTATGGCTTCGTTGAGTGCCCAGGCCTGGGGCTTCTTCGTGGGAGCCACACTGCCAACAAAGGTGGGTTAAACACACCTTCAAATTAATCACAACTAAAGTTAATGGATTACTTTTATCTTAATGCCATAGCTTGCCGTGTTTCTGGGACCCATACTGGCGGTGATGTTCTCCGTTTTTGGCTTCTGTACGCGATACATTGACATTACACCGCTGTTCCGTTGGATGTGGCATTTGAGTTATTTCCGGGCTGGATTCCATGGTGCACTGAATGCCATCTATGGCATGGATCGCGCTTTCCTAGAGTGCCCAGAGAATACGATGTACTGTCATTTCAGGAGTCCAAAAGTGTTTCTTAAGTACATGATGATCTCGGATGTGCACATGTCCGACTGTCTGCTGCTGATGGGCATCGTCATCGGTGTGATGCATGTCCTGACCATCCTCACGCTCTGGCACAAGCTGAACAAACGATAGGAGCTAGTCCTATACACACTAAGTTTTACTTCGTCTACGTGTACGTTCTTAAGTCTACGTTTTATTCCTTATGTACATAGTTCGGTGTGTCTATCAACAACTCTCTGTTTCTATCTACCTGTATCTTCAGTTGAGTCTTGAATTTCCGTATTTCGTGTGCGATTTCTTGGCTTATTTTTTTATACAGATCGACCCAATCGATGATGTTACAGCTAGCTTAATTATTTATTTAAATATTCTTTAAATATTGTATGCAAGAAGGCTTTAGGGTAGCTTATTCCAGTTAAGTGCTGAATACCAAAAAAGAAAAAAAATCAACGAAAATGACCCATAAACAATCCACTCAATCGCCCAGTTTCCATTATTGCAATCAAAACTTGCCATTTTCCTACAATTTACTTCCATACGAAAACCCCTCATCAACCGAGCTGGGATTCCTAGTAGATCCTAGGGATCCGTGCTATGCCAAATGTCTTGAATATCATCATTTAAGCTCTCGTAAGGTTCCGCACAACAAAGATACATTTTGTGATCAACATTTTTGTTTCCTCTCTTTTAGTGATTAGTTTTAGTTGTACCTCCTAAGTTCGAATTGTTTGTTTAAATCGGCTAATGATGATTGATCGAAATTCGCATGTCTTTTATGTATAGCAAATCTTTTAGTTTATGTTTTGATTTGTTTTAGTTTCTTAAATAAAAATATTTTGGTAAATTTGATATATAATTTTTTATGCTTTTCTATTTGATTTTGATTTGGTTATTTGGGAATATAGAAATATGAGGAAACTCTATGAAAATTCCTTTGCATGTAGAAATGTTCCTACAGATTGGAATTTGGAAGTACAAAAGGAAGAAACTATATGATGGAATAGCAAATAGCCATGAACAATATAAATATTACAGGAAAATCAGAACACTTCTTTGAATTAAGACTATTCTGACAGAAAGTACCTCAAAACGATACATTTGTTTTGATAAATGTATTGGAAAATTATTTTATACATTGATGTCTATTGAAAACTATAAAATATCACGATCTAGGTGTAAGCAAAAATGTTTCCAACAAAAAATATATCAAAGTACTGAAGACAAAACCCCATACAGGTTTCCAAGCTATACGAATAATCAAAATTGTTGAAACATTTACACAAAGAAACAAACTATATTTATCTTATATTTATACAAGGCATATCCAAAAAGAGTTCTCTTTTTAAGAGTCTAATAAACTAAATACAATTATTTTATTAGTAGCAATGTAAATGCCAAAGAAAATAAGTTAAATACAATACATTGATGGATGCGATGAGGGAATATGTCCATCCCCCAATCAGGTAAATGCTTAAGGACTACACACATAAAATATATATGAATATATATTAGTGATTTTATGGAGATTGCACAGATCCCGCTCTACATGGTGGACATGCGTGCATATCGAATGATCTGATCATGATTGAGGGGCGCATCGGTGGAGAGCTGAACGCGCTGCCACTGCCGTGATTCGTTGGATTTGCGTATGGCCTCCACAACGGCCTGGACGTAGAGGCCATCCTCGAAGGTTGCGGCCGTGGAGACGGGCGCCTTCACCCAAGAGGACTCCTTGCTGCCAAAGGCTTCTTTGAGTGCGCCCACCATCTTGCAGAGGCCCTTGATGTATGGACGTGGCAGCAACGAGTTGTTCGTGGAGAAATGCAGATCCTGTACATCCACATAGACAGCCTCCTCCTTGGGCTGGCCCTCCTTCAGCACGAATAGATCTCCGCCGCGGACCACGAGGTGTCCCTTGCTGCCATAGACGAGCACCTCTTGCGAGAAGGCCTTGGCCGGCACCGTGTGGCTGTGCAGTGCGACCGTGACGAGGGTGCCGCTGGCCAGCTCCATTTGAAAGTTGCAAAAGTCAGGGGCCGTGATCTGTCGAATGCCATTGATGGCCGGCGTCGTCTTGGTGTAGGCTCTGAGGACGCCGTGCACTCGCACCGCCTGCTGCTGCAGCAGAAATGTGACCAGATCCACGACGCTGCCAACCAGATTGAGGGCTCCACCGCCCATCTGGGCATCGCACATCCAGTTGTATTTCTCCGGGAAGAGGGTGCCCATCTGGACGCGCACATCCATCAGCACCACCTCGGGCAGCGGCCCAATCAGCTCCTCCTGCAGACAGCGCCGCATGTGCGTGAAGGCCGGCAGAAAGCGCAGCGGATGATTCACCAGCGATATCAGTGTGGGATAGTACTGCGACGCACGCACCATTTTCAGGGCATCCTGCTGGTGCAGGCCCGCGGGCTTGTCGCACACCACGTGCTTGCCAATGCCCAGAGCCTTCACAGAGATCTCTGCATGCAGGAAGGGCTGGCACACGATGAACACCAAGTCGACGTCCTTTCGCAGTAGAACGTCATCGATGACGTTCGTGTGAAACGAGACATTTTGTGCGGTGGCCGTCTCTTTGGCCTCTTTCAGGGTGCGCCCCCAGATGGCACGCACCTCGAAGCCCTTCTCGCGCAGCAGGGGCACCAGGACATTGGCTATTTCGCCCGTTCCGAAGACACCCACGCCCGGCAGCATTTTACGCTGCTGTTTACAAGAAAAAAAAAAACTTAATAAAAAATCAAAACAAAGTGATTTGTGTTTAAAATATACCACACTACCCTCAAAAATATGCCAAAATATACGTTCTCATTTTAAAATAATACTGCAAATATACCGAGGAAAAAAAAGAAATTAGCCCACGTATGGAAGGTTGCGAGAGTGCCATTCGAAAAAGATAAGCTTAGCTACCCTTAAAATTTAAATTTAGTAGATTCTGAATAGAGGCACTAAATATTATTTTCATCAAAGCGGCGCCAAAATTAACAGCACCTAAATGTGCGCCTTACAGCACACTGTCAACTGCGTTATTGTGTGCTGTAAGGCAGCTTTTGTCAGTAAGCAGGGTGCGAATCAAATTTGAAGTTTCATTTGAATCCGAAATTACATTTAAAAAATTATATTTTAAACAGATCAAAATCAAATAAAATGGCCTTGAATACATTTGCTCAGTGGTTGGTGTCCTGTGCCATGGGTGTGGCGACGGTCGCGAACGTGTTGCGCCACTGTAAGGTCGCAAACGATAAGGAGACGGTGCCCAGGACTGTCAGCATGACAAACACAGCGGCCATCGAATGCTTGGACTTGACTATCGAAGAGGAGTCGGCGCAGCGGACTGCCAGCAAACCATTGGACCACTCGGACATGATCGAACCGCCTGCTCTCGGCTCGGAGATGGTCAGTGCGGCTCTGCAGCGTTTGTTTAGCAGCAAGGATAATTGTACTCTGGATCGCAGCAGTGTGTACATCGCTGCCATGCACAATAATGCCAATAGACAGGAGTATACACTCGGCTCGGAGGCACTTAATCGCATACTGGAGGGGCTACAAGTACCAACGGGTGGGCCAGGGGTGACCGGCCAGCAGTTGTCCTTTGAACCGCCAGAAAATGTTTAAACTGCAAGACATGAACAATTCATTCAAATAAATTAAAGTTTCTGCCTGCACACACGATCTTAGTTCCCCCTTTTGAGACGACATTTCTGCACTCCGCCTTGGGGGCCATGTGTGGGAGGTGTTATTTCAGTTGTCAAAGCAGCCGACATGCGGAAAATCATTTTGCAGCTTATTACAAGCAGGGGGAGAAAGTGAAGGACTTACTGGCGGCTGGGCTAATGGCACGCCTCGCCGCACACTCATATGGGGCAATGTGGGTGTCGTGTCAGCGTCTGTGGAGGTGGATATGCCAGGATATAATGCAAGCATTGGCAAGCCATGGCAAACAAATGTCACAGTCGACGCATTGCCCTGTCATATGGTAACCCAATTAGTGTAATTTGGTTTAAGGCAGCTGCCGCCTGTCGACTGCCATCTCTCAAATGTGCGTGTGTGCCTCTGTGTGTGTTTCTGGTGTTGTGTCGCTTGCGGAGCTTTAATTAAACCACACAAAGTGCACGGCAGCAGCAGCAGCTGGCAAACAATCAACTTTAAAGCAAACCCGCTGGCCACAGCAAACAGCTAATGAATGTTTCCATGGACCAATGAGACCCAACAGGCATTCATTGAGTAATAAAGCTGTCGAAGATGGCATTGGCCACGGGTGTTATTAAGAAGGTTCTCCCATGATTGAATATTATATTTGGCATCGATTCACAGAAGGGTGGTGTAGGAGTGGGTGTCAAAGAGAGGGATTTCCTTTAATATCAGAGGTTGAAGCGTGTGTGAACGTATTAATGAATGCCATCAGGGGATACAGGGGAATTTCTCTAGAGTAGTGGCTAGAAAATCCCTAATGCCCAGCATCCCAAATCAAAACTGTTTAAAGAACAAATTTCCCCACCCAAACTTTCTGTTGTCTTTTAAACAATTAATTTAAATCCCACACAGTCAGAAAATCTCCAGATGTCCCACAAAACTTGCTCTTTTAATTGAAAAGTGTATGTTAATGGGCGTGCATATTGGTTACATTTGCTAAGCCAGGCTTAGCCGAAACTTGTCCCAGACTTGGGCTGTCTTGTCAGATGGGGCCAGACATAAATCACATTTAAGCCAGATTAATGCTAAATGCATGGGCAGAAAAAAACTGACTGGAATTGCAAAATACATACAACTAAACATTTAATAAGCCAAACAAGAGTCCTAGTCAGCGTCGACGCAGTTGTACGTGACCTCATCTTGTGGTGCTCCTGAGACTAGGACTAGGACAGGGACAGGCACTGAGACTGCGAATGCGAGTGCGACTAGAATGAATCAGACCGCACATAGATCTCTGTCAGAGGCATTAGCATTAGCAATGAACAAGGACGAGGACGTTGCCATGCGGCGAGCACCCAAAGATAGTTCATCAAAACTGACAAGCCCATTTCGCTGTAGGATGAGGAGAGCTCTACTCTGCGTCCGCATCCTGCTTCTGTGGTCCGAAGCCAACTCTGAAACTGAAATCCACGACATATAACAAAACTGCAAGGATACCCTCGACCACCCACAGCCATCGAGCAGCGAACAGCGAACAGCGAGCTATCTCGATGGTCCCACATCAGACGGGGGAACCACCACAGACAACAGATGAGATATATTCATCAGCATTTACGTCACGCAGCGCGCAAAAGTCGCTGGGGAAAGGGGAGTAGCCACAGCTAGAGAGAGAGAGAGAGAGAGAGAGAGAGAGCCAGGGGGCAGAGGCACAAGCAAAGGATGGGATGGGATGAGCGTGCGAAATCAGGCGGGGGTTTCCCTCCTCTGGCTGTCTCCTGCTGTCAGTAGATTTATGTTGACATTTCAATGACAGTTGTGAAAATGCTTCCAGTTCATGAGAATACGAACGAGTGCGAGTGCGGGTATGTGTGCGTGTCGTGTCGTGTCGTGTCCTGTTCTGGCATTGCGACACTGCGGTCCTGTCTTCTCTTTCATCTTAAATTTGCGCAAATTGGTTTATCATGCGCTGATAGGCAAGACAGCCGCACAGCACAGCATAACGCAACGGAACAGAGAACAGTGCTGTGAACAGCTTAAATTATTTCCAATCACGTACCACCCACGAAGGGGTTCTGTCTCGGTATGAGGTCAATGGATGGTGTCAAGCTCCTGTCGCACACTACAAGTGAAATAATCATAAGTCACGCATTGCTCAGAAATTAGTGGGGGGAGGCGAACCATTTACGGGAGCAGACATAAAGCTGTTGAGAATATAATATCACTTATGGTAATTGCATTCAACAGTTCCCATTGCCATACACATAATTCCCGCACAATGATGGCACAATCAAGGAAATGTTTCATGCCGTGAAAATACTCGTACTCATTCGTCGACTGCCTGGCAGTCGTAAATGAATCGTAAATCAAGTCTGCACGCACTCACTCAATCAGATTAGATGTTGTTCTTTTCCAAAGAGGATCCAACAGCACTCTGTTGAATGGGCACATCCGTGGCTGTAAATGTCGAATCACTCCAATTGTTTTGAGGTAACAGAAACATGCGATTGTCGATTGGTAGTCCAAAATGATTGACTGTAAGTCTCCACTGCTGCTGTGCATTTAATGGAAGTGCATTTTTATCTGTTTAATAAAAATAAAAAGTATAATAGTATTCATTGCCTTTAGATTAGAATATCAATCAAGTAGCATATTCATTGATGATAGGCCAAAAGTATCAAAAATAATTGCTCACGAAGAAAAAGGCTCAAAGATCCCTTCCATCCTTCAATTTTCCAAGAATTTGGTTGCCTTAAAAAGCGTCATAAAATTATGTTCAAAATGGTTTAGGGATAAAGATTCTACTATCTATCATATAGCCTTGTCATTACTCAATTACGATTGGTTCTTCTCATGTTACATCATACTTTAAATTGACATCAAATTGCAATAATCTCCGAATATCTAAGGATGGCTGCTCGAGGCCAATGTCTCTCTTTCCTTGTGGCAGTTAAAATACAAATTGTTTGCGTGCCAGCCATCAATTTTTATTAACTTGATTAAGTGCTTTATGGCAGGCGTCAGGGATTTCTGGTTGTGCAACAAGTTATTAGCTGCAAAATGGAAATGCCAAGCTGCTGGGTGGGGCACAGGATGTGGGTGAAGGCCAACCTCCAGGGATGAGGCTGGTTGGCTGGTTGGCTTTGACAGCAGCTGCCAAAAGCCTCCTCGGCTACAGCTGGTGTCAAGGAATAATATTTGCATTGTTGTAGCTGAAAGGGGAGAGACTTAAGTGTGGTTGGAGGCTGCATGTTGGGGTTGGGCCCGGACTGAACTCGACGTTCAGCATTTCAATAAGCCAAAGCTCTGGCTCAGGCTCTGAAAGGGGCAGATGGGTGCGATGCGGTGCTGAAATTGGGGGATACAGCCGGAGCAAACTGTGTGCTGCTGACGGGGGAATTTCATTAAGGAAATAACATGAAGTTATGAACAAGTTACCTTCCATAGTTAACTGCATGGAATTTTCCCCGAGTCTTATGAATTTCAATTCTGCCTGCCATTTCCCCCCCATACGGAATAGCTCGACGGCAGGCAACTTAACTTATTCCATTCCCGGCTAATTTTGAACAACTTTCAGATTCTTTTCTGGCACAAAATTGCGCATGCAGTCGCAGGGCTTTATGAAATATCTCACAAATTCAGGCAGGACTACAATGGAAAGTAGAGAAAATGTTTGAAAACAGATTCAACTTGTGTCCAAATATGTTCTACAAATCTGAGGATCATATAATGGTTGGCCAGAAATAATGTTCAATTAGTCGAAATATTTGTACTTATATATTAATACCTCCACTTGATAGCCAGGTAAACATTACCAGAATAAATAACAGCACCTGGGCTTTATGGACATAGTAAATTACATTGAACTCTGGTTTTAATTACGATACAGTTTGTATCGGTATCTCTCAATTGAATTTCTCACACAATTTTCATGAAGACAAGACATCTTCATTAAATAATTGAGAGAGAGAAAGTTGCACACGGACAAAGTGCTGGAGAACCAAAATGTATTCCAAATAGTTCATTGTCTTTCGTTGGCAACTAAAATTCCATTTACTGAATGCACAAACAGATTCCTAGGAGTATTCTAAACAGGAAACTTAACAGTCGAATGCATTTGGGTTTGTCCGAGGGAGAGATGAAGATTTCGTGTCCTGCAATGATAAACAAATGATACAGGAAGACTTGCTTTAATTAAGCTCGAGGCATATGGAGATGATTGTATCCCTTTGGTGGGACCCTTCATTTGTGCACTAATTGAAACATATGTATATATGCAGAGTTGCCGTCGGTTGCACAGCTGCTTGACCGAATGTCCGACACGGCATCCATATAAAATGTAATTCACAAATGAAGATTCATGTTTTTGCAGTCATCTGCCAGCTCACTCCTACTCAGTCAGGTTCCGTGCTGGACATAAATCAATGCATCCTGACACAAATTGTCAGAGATGACTCTCCCTGTATGTGTGTCTGTCCCTCTGGTAGATGGTTATTTGCCAAGCTCGTTAAATGGAAACTCAATGACAATTCTGTAGGCACACATTTTGAGTGAGTTTTGCATTTAAAGTGCTTCATTGCCTTCAATGCATTTGACATTGTCATGGTCCGACCGTTTGTGTCTCTGCGGGGGCCTCTCTCCTCTCTCTCTCTCTATCTCTGTGTGTGTGGGTGTGTTTGCCTGTGGATGCCGGTGACATGTGCATATTGTGTGTACACAAGCTAAATGCAATCCACTGAACGATGTGGGCTTTTAATCACTTGAAAGCATAAACGGCAATTGCTTAAATCGTATTCACTTGCCTCTTAACAATTAGCTCATACCTGAATTACAAAGTTTCCACTTGAAGTAACATTATTCCGACAAGAATCGATACACGCACAATGCAAAAATCAGCTGTGATAGCAGCACGTTCAGTGGCAGGCATCTGTTATGTATGCGATCGGTTGGCAGGATTGGTTACACGCTGTTAGCGTAACAGCGACGATCAGTCCACTTAACAGCGACAGTACACATTTAAAGCGCTCCTAAATCAGTCCCGTACATTACCGAATATACGATGTCTCATCCGGATCTTGCCATAATCACGTACGGTGCCCTGGAAATGGAAGCCGCCAGCACACTCATCTCGCTGCGCTATCAGTTCGAAGATCAGGAAAAAGAAAATATGGCTGTCGTTAGCACCTCCAGCAATGTGGATGGATTGGGAAAACCGAACATCGAGCGTAGGTCTATGGAGCGGACTCCAAAATCCTACAAACCTCAGAAGCGCTCCATACTCAAGCATCTGCAGTCGATCCCTGACGTCGCCCAAATCTACTGCGTTGATTCAGCTCAATGCGAAATGGTTTACAATTTCTTGAAAAAGAACGAAATGAACTAGATTTAAACAGTGCATGCATTTGTGTGCAAATTTACGCATTTATTTTAGCTGACGCTAACAGCACGAAATGTGTAGGATGAGCAGTGCAGAGCTGGTTCTCTGTGCCGTCTCTAGCTGCATAAAAGCAAAAAACCAAAGGGTTTGCCACATAATCATAAGCGTAAATATAATTGTATTATTTTGAAGATTTCTTTGTGAAGAAATATAATGAGCGACAGTTTTTTTATTTAATTCTGCAAATGCATATTGTCTTAACAGCCGCAGCCAAGCTCACACCAGCAGCTGTTAACTTAACAGCGGTTCAACTGCTGAAGAAATCGCAGACGCTTGCGCAGCCAAATTCGCGGATAAGCAAAAATAAAATAATAAAAGGGCTTAAAAAAGTATCAGCGCCAAGTCAGTGTGTTCTTTAATCGTTATAATTATTTATTGTTGTTAAAGTAACAGCTTAAGCGAACTCCCTGCTCACAGACAGAGACAGAGACGTGCACGCATTCGCGGCAAATGTTGCGAAGCAGCATGGTTTTATATTATTATATTTTGTGTATTTTTGTGTGTTTGCTAATAGTTGTTATTATTGCAGGGGAGATGCCAGATAATACGCACTATCTGTTGGTCATAAGTTGGTCCTAGTGAGAGTGTCATGTCGGCCATCAATCAATGTCGTCAGCCCCGGGCTACACGTAGAGACACTCATGCGCCATCGAAAAAGAGAGACCCAGGGGCACACGGACACTGCGTGGGAAATGGAAGAGATAATTCACTTACGTCCGACTGTGCGGCAATTCACTTACGTGCCGCTGATGGCTCTAAGCTCCGGATGTATCGCATTTGGCAGCCTGCTGCGCGGCCCAAAGTTCTGCGAGCCGCTGGTGGTGGCTGTGCTGATAGGCCAACACTTTTTTACGGTTGGTCAGCTTGGTGCGATGACGCTCCTGCAGGGATAGATAGTCCAAAGGCTTATTCAGATTCGACAAGCCATCGAAAGTATCAAAGTCTACCGTTGGAATACGCTGCCATTCAGGGGTCGGAACGGGAGTCCGACTTGTGGAGGGCTGCGTGAGACGAGACCGCTGTGAGTAAATAGTTTGTCTAACAATTTAATGTAGTCCTACCACGTGATATTTTGAGAGTTCTGCATATTGTGGTGGAGCGTCTGTGGATCCTTCACCGCGCGAATCCATTTTGTGTAATTTTCTCCGGCAATTTGTAGAATGCTCTTTATTTTTCGACTACTCAGTCGAGGCTGGCGCTGGCAAATCGATAACTTGCTCAAATATTCATGGAGACAAATTAATCGTAGAGATGGGAGATTTGTCGGCTATCAAGATAAAACAAATTAGGAACCAAATTGCCAACTCAGAGCCAGACCAGAGACGGCTCATCCCGATGCAGCTAAAAGCCTTTTTGCACCTCCAATTTCGAGCCCCAGTCAGAGGCCCCTCGATTATTTATGTACTAAATGCAGATAAAGTTTCCATTTTTAAGGCTTGCCTTACGGCCGCCAGGCAGACCGTTCCGTTCCGTTCCGTTCCGGACACCCGAGCTCCTCCTATGCACTTTGCAGGCGGCCAAAAAATAAAATTTATTTACAGTTTCCTCTGCCGAAGGCTCCCTCGAAACCAACGAAATGGGGCAGAGGCCGACAGGAGCGTGGGCGGAGTCCGGAAACTCAGTCACGTTTTGTGGAAAATGGAAATGGTTGGGAATTTACGGCAAAATACAACAGGAACAGCAAAAAAACTAACAAAAAAGGGCAAGAGAGAAGAGGCAAACTGCAAATGGATGCCAGTGGTCCAGTACTAATCGGAGGGAAAGTCTCCTTTTCCGTTTTTTTTTTTTTGCAGCTCTCCTTGGGGTTAGGGGCCTAATGAAATTTTCGTTTTATGGCAAGTGCAGCCAAACTAAATTGCAGGTGAAAGCTTTTCCCCCTCCCAAAGTGTGTTTGTGTTTTAGAAGAGGTCTGTAAATGTTTTTTCGAAAAATCACATTTTTTGTAGGTCCTTTAATTTGAGTGCCATGCCCAAATGGAGGTGAAACGGCTACGGGGCTCTATAAATAAACAAAAGTTGTAAACCATCTGAAATTCGAGTTGACTCAAAAGCTGTCCGAGCTTGTTGATGCGTCTCTACCCCTCAGTGTTTGTTGCCACTCCTTGTTGGTACCACATCCTGTCCTCTTGCATATTCGGTGCGTGCGTAGGTTTATTTTTCTCCTGTAGAAATACTCGTAGGAGCTCTGTACATGGAACATGCTAGTGGTCTCCAAGGGGTCAGAGAAATGTCAACTTGGATTGCGGCTGGCAGGAGCTGCAACAATGGAATCTTTACGATGGGCAGCCATGGGGCTGTGGGGTTGATTAAGTGTTGGGTTTGGTCTGAAAATTAAATGGTGGATTTCTATTATTTAAGCTGAGAAACTTGAATAGAACTGAGTTATATATTTCGATGTGGTAACCAAAGAGGCACTACCATAGCTCCATTAGTCTTACATCTCCTATCTCCATCTTACATTTAATTTTTCCTTCAACTTTAACTCCGTTTTACCCACACTTTGCCGCATTCATACCCATTGTCTTTTAGCTACAATGTAAAGTTCAACTAGGCATGACTTTGGGGGGCCCCGGACATGCTACACATAAAGTTTCAACTTTAACACAACACACACATACGAACAGACGGACATACGGACTGACGGACACACCGAGCAGGTGTGACTTAAGCTTCTAACCATACAGTTCTGTGGACTTTCCCCTACACCCCTCTTAACCATTACCCCGCACTAATACACTTACTCGAGCGACCAACAAGTCAACAAACATTTTTGTTACGCTTTTGTCGTTGCTTTTTAACTTTTGCTGTGGTTTTTTTGTTGCTTTGCCCCTTAACTTTTTGGCGAGCTTTTTAATTCTATATTTTATGCAAGGAGGGGTGTGGCAGTGTGAGGGGGCGGAGCTTCAAGCTGTTCTATAATGAAGCCAGCTTCTTGTAGCCGCTGCAAAATATGACAAAATGTTGAGCCAGCGGCGCATATTTTAAGCCTTCCTCCCCAAGCAGCTTAACAACTACAAGAGAGAGAGAGAGAGACCCCCAACCCCCCACAATCCCCTCCGGCTGTCCCACCAATATGCCGCTGGCTGACAGCGGAAAATGTCAGGAAAATGTTGGCCGCGTTGACTTTTCCGCATGAGTCTGCTGTTTTATATTATTCGAGCCATTTTTCGGTGCCCTCGCCAGGCACCGAGGGGGGACTGGGACGAGGACTAGTACGAGGAGAGTATGACTATCGCATTCATATTTCTGGCCTTTTACGACTTTTTTGTAATCTTTATGGGGGGTTTCGGCTCAGACCAGCTCAGCGCTTTTTACAGCTCAAGGAGTTACGACGCTTATGAGTGCAATTTAAATTCAAAAGCCGCTTAAATTTATTTCGAGCTGCTGCTGGAGATGGATCTCGTCCTGGTTCTGCTACTGGAGATGAAGCTGGGACCTATGAGCTGCGAGCTGCCGCTGCACTGCACTCACTTAAGTCAATTTTTGTGTTGCAAATTTCACATTTATGACAAGCAATTTAACTTTTTTGGCCTAATTGCGCGACATGGAAAATTGTCTGCCAACAAGTTGAAAGTCAGTCAGTCCTGTTGGCCCCTCTATCATCGCTGTTTCTCTCACTTTCTCTCACCCTATCTGAATCTGCAGGAAGCCAGCCCCAGCGTTGTGTGTGTCCTGACGCTTCATTAAATGTAACTTTTGTCGCCTGTCTCGGAAGGCGGCATAGAAAACTTTTTGTTCCAGCAACAGGATGTGGATAGGGCGGGGTTCAGATGGGTCTCCTGGCAGCTCCATTGGGGTTCACTGGGCGGGTTAGGCAAATAAAATGGCTCATTAGGATAGTGCAAGTGGAACTTATTGGATTAGTTGCCATGACTGCCTTCAGGGCAGAAAGAAAACTCTGTCATGCGATGCGTTGCGTTGTTCTTTTTTTTGCCGTTTTTACTTGGGGCAAAATCGTTGAGATATTCATGAGGTTGCAGTGGAAGCACAGCACTTACAGATCCCAGTGGGTGGCGATGCCGCAATGGAGCTGACGAGACATTCAATCTGCTCTTGAATACATTTAGATCTGAAAATGGTGTTGAAATTTATGATACTATTTAATCCTTGACTTGAGTTTGGTTTGAATAAACTTCACTCAAGTCATTTGGCAAGTATTTTTGGACTGGTTTCTAAAGGAACACCATGGACTGCGGCTGCTTAGTCTCTACTGATTTCTGCACTTCAATTTTGCCAACTACAACTTGCCCAATTTTTGAAGTCCAGCATTTACCAGCTTCCCCATTTTCCCCCCAATTTATTTATGTATTTTTCAATGCATATTCAATTTGTTTGGTTCTTGGTATTAGTTTTAGGGTTGTGCTGCCTGGATTAAAAGTTTTCAACCACTTTAAGCTTTCATTCCAGCTAATCGCGTTGCTGAGACTTGAGTTTTGGCGTTTGGTCTATCCCCCAATTAGCCATGGAGCAGCAGCTTCATTTCGCATGCAACTGGAGATGTCTCCAAGCGGAAGTGGAAGTGGAAGTCGAAGTCGAAGTGGAAGTCTCAGACGAGATGGAATGGAATGGGAGAAGCATTTTTCCGGCTTTCCGTGGAAGCGTTGAAGCGGACCGACAATTGTCTTAATTTCTCCCCGCGGTCTCTTTAGCGCTCCAATTGCGACAGCCACAGGGATACGTGAGAGGAAAAAGGGAATAGCTTAAGGAGCCTTGGCAAATCCGTTGCAGCTTGGCAAAAGGGATTTGCATTAAAAACTCCATTTGCAGTTGCATGAAATGATTTATTTACCGACTTCTCTTATGGTCCCCGTTCCCACTTTCTCTCTGTCTCTGAAAGGTTACGCAAATCCTGGCTGCAAGCGAAAGCTCGAAAAAACAAACACGAAATTAGTTTTGTTTGCCTCGGATATGCACAAAGGATTATTGCCAACGCTCTCAGCTAAAAAGCAAATCCCACAAAAAAATAGAGCGAGAGAGAGAATAGAGAATAGTTATTTATATGGTGTGTGCAATAGAGAAAATGATTTTCCCCCCAATGGAAATTGTCGGCACAAAAGATTCAGTGTGTTCTGTTGAGCGGCGCTTAGGCCAAAATGCATTCAGAGTTTATCGCCAATAAAAATGCATTCAAAATGGATTCAAGATATACGTAAATGGAAAATGTAGAAAGAGGCAGTGCAGTCATTCGATGTGGATTTCAATTTATTTGCTAGACAATCGATGTTGGCAACATTTTTATTGAGTATCTACTATTTTATGTTTGCATAAATTAAGAAAATATTTAAAAAATAATATTTGATAGTAATATTTATTATTCATTTTTATTTATATGAACAGGAGATAATGGAGCTACAAGACAATTAATTTATTCTGCATCTTAAATAGAACTAAGAAAATTGTAGTTTTAGAAAAATATTTTAAGATCTATAAAGAAAATGTCTCTTGTTAAAAATCCATTGAAATTCCTGTAGCTAAACAATTTTAGCCTGTGCTTAATTTAGTTATAACTGAATTTTAATTCTGTTAGAGTTGGCAACACTTTATGCCCACTTTGCTAAAAGTTGCATCTCTTTTTTTGTCTCTTGCAGATATTCTGCCAGCCGCAACATGTTGACAAAAACTGAAGTTGACTTCCAGTGGAAGTTTTGGCCTCGGTTGAAGTTGCCCAAGAATCAAGGCGTGGGCCCGACTACAGGCTGACTTGGAGCCTAGTTGCTGGCCATGTTGCAACGTGCTTGTGGGGCATGCCACTGCCACTCGTCTAACCTCAAGCCTGAACATAATTTTAAGGCAAGCGAAGTTTCGCCCCCTGGCGGTGACAAAACGTTTGCATGAGTTGGCAACTCGCATTTACCATTTTTATTTAGCCATCATTTGCCTTTACGACTTCTGCACTAATCTGGCCAACAGTGTCTTGGATGGGAGGCCATGATTTGGCCATTTTATCGAGCTCATTTTGAACTTGCTGGAAAGTTTGTGCAAGTGTTGCAAATTTTGTCTTGGCGTGGCCAAGGTTTTTCGGGGACAACCTAATGACAGCCACGTGGAGTGCTGCTTGCCAGCTCCTTCCTATGCTCTTGTGTTTGCTCTCACTTTAACACACGGAAGTTTCCATGTACTTGGGGGAAAATTGCTCATTAAAAAGTAATAAATGTCAAGCGGGCAAATCAGCTTTTTTG